TTAATTACCTACTGTGTAGGTTCAGAGAGGAGGGACGCTAATCCTGGGGGAGCAGGAGTGGGGCAGGGAAGGCTTTCTGGAGGAGGCCATTACTGAGATATCTTAAAGAGTGGAGGCTAGCAGGCTTTCCAGGCAGATGAAACAGAAACAAAGGTCCAGAGGTGAGAAACAGCATGGTGTGTATGGGAAAGCTGTAAATGGTATCCGTTGGTGCGTGATAAAGAGGGCAGGAGATGGAGGCAAGAGTCAGATCACAAAGACGACTCTAGAGAACCATTAAGACTGAACCTTTAGTAAAAGGATGCAGACACTTTGGAAAACTGTTTGGCAGTTCCACAGAAAGTTACATAGAGAGTTACCATATGACCCAGCAATTCCACTCCTAGGTATACATATACCCAAGAGAATTGAAAACATATTCACACAAAAATTTGTGCACAAATGCTCATAGCAGCATTATTCCGAATAGACAAAAAGAAGAAACAACCCAAATGTCCATCAGCTGATGAACGGATAAACAAAGTGTGGTCTATTCATACAATGGAACATTACTCAGCCATAAAATAGAATGAGGTACTGCTACAACATGGATGAACCTTGAAAACACTATGGCAGAGGAGAGAAGCCAGTCATAAAGGCTACGTATTGTATTTCCACTTACAGGAAATGTCCAGAATAGGCAAATTCACAGAGACAGAAAGTAGATTAGTTGTTGCTAGGGGATGGGGTAAGGGGTGAGGGATGGGAGAGGACTACTAACAGGTACAGGGTTTCTTTTGGGGTTGATGTAAGTGTTCTGGAATTAGTGGTAATGATTGCACAACCTTGTGAATATACTAAAAATCACTTAGGTATATACTGTATGAGTGGATTCATATAGTGCATGAATTTTATCTCACTTAAAAAAATGGGTTGGGAGACTTGAAGACTTATTTCTAAATTAAGCTTTATTTTTAAAAAAATCAAAGTAATACATGCATATAGTTAATCAAAAAGAAGGGAAAGTTATATGACAAAAAGAGCCATCCCCTGCCTAACCCCAGTCTACCCTCCAAACTAGCTTCCCAGAATGAAAGACTTTCACTTCCTTGAACTATTCTAGTATTTGTCGTCATAATTGGAAATAATATGCCCTCCTGCTCTTCATGGCTTATCAGCTTTAGACATCTGTTAGCTTCCTGTTATGAAGGGTGAAGGTTTAGTTCTCTGTGATGATCTTAGTTGATATAGAAAAGAGAATTTAAGTAATTCAGCTCAATAAAACCCTGGGAACAGAAGGACATTTCCTTAATTTGGTAAAGGTGACATACTAGAGATCAACAACAGATGTTTAGTGGATATATATTCCCTTAAGATCAGCAACAAGGCAAGAATGCCCACTATTACTGTTGCACTTTAACTTAGTACTGAAGGTACTAGTCAGTGTTATAAAAACAAAGAAGGAAAGAAAGGGGGAAAGGAAGGAAGAGAGGGAGGGAGAAAGGAAGGAAGGAGGGAAGGAATTAAAGGCATGCGAGGATTGGAAGGAAAGAGCAAAATGATCATTTACAAATTATATGAATTTCATCTTTAAAAATTCATGCTGAGTGAAAAAACAATGAGATTTAAAACATGATATCATTTATGTAAATTAAAAATACATACGGGACTTCCCTGGTGGTACAGTGGTTAAGACTCCGTGCTCCCAATGCAGGGGGCCTGGGTTCGATCCCTGTTCAGGGAACTAGGTTCCACATGCACGCCACAACTAAGAGTTTGCATGCCACAACTAAGGAGCCCGCATGCCACAACTAAGAAGCTCATGGGCCACAAGTAAGGAGCCCGCCTGCCACAACTAAGACTGAGTACAACCAAATAAATATAATTTAAAAAAAAATCAATCCATTTGGGGCTTCCCTGGTGGCGCAGTGGTTGAGAATCTGCCTGCCAGTGCAGGGGACATGGGTTGGAGCCCTGGTCTGGGAAGATCCCACATGCCGCAGAGCAACTGGACCCGTGAGCCACAACTACTGAGCCTGCGCGTCTGGAGCCTGTGCATCTGGAGCCTGTGCTCCGCAGCAAGAGAGGCCGCGACAGTGAGAGGCCCGCGCACCGCGATGAAGAGTGGCCCCCACTCGCTGCAACTAGAGAAAGCCCTCGCACAGAAACGAAGACCCAACACAGCCAAAAATAATAATTAATTAATTAATTAAAAAATCAATCCATTAAAAATAAGTAAATAAATAAAAATAAAAACACGTGCAGGAGACAATACACATTTTGCAAAAACACAAAATTATAAATATCAAACAATTTATAATGTTCTCTATGGCTGGGGAGGGGAATAAGGAAAAATGGAATTATAAAATGAAATGAAATCTTTCTATGCATAAGTGGAGATCATGTGTCATGAATTGATGAGTAGCAGTTAACTCCACCTTCTGTACCTGAGGTCCTCCAGAAAAACAATGTTCTATTTTTGTCTTCGGGGTGACTCATGCTTTAAGAAACACTCATATTTGTTTACTCCTGTTGGTTTCTTAAACTTATCAGTATTCATGACAAGTCAAACACTTTAGCACACTTGCAAGTCCCTTTTGGTATTTTCATCACATGTATGTGTAATATCTATGTATGATATTTGTTGTTTGTTTTGGGAATCTAACACATGTGCTGGTTCAAGGTAGCTGTGTTAGTTTTCTGGGGTGGCCGTAAGTACCGTGAGTTGGGCAGCATAAACAACAGTAATGTATGAACTCACGGTTCTGAAGGTTAGAAGTCTGAGACGAGGCCTCACCAGGGCTGTCAGGCAGAATTTGTTCCATGCCTCTCTCCTAGCCTCTGGTGGTTTGCTGGCTATCTTTGGTGTTCCCTGGCTTATAGACATATCAGCCCAATCTCTGCCTTGATGTTAACAAGGCGTTCTCCCTGTGTGTGTGTCTCTCCAAATTTTCCCATTTTATAAGGACACCAGTCATACTGGAGTAGGGGCCCACTCTACAACAATATGACCTCATCTCAACTAATTACGTCTGCAACGAACCTGTGTCCAAATAAGGTCACATTCTGAGGTCTGAGTGTTAGGACTTAAACATAAAAACTTTTGGAGGATGCAACTGAACACATAACTAGAGCCTTCAGTCTCCCCAAGGTATTCTTATGCCTTTGTCTTTGTTAATTCTTGAGATTCATGATTCCCTATAGCTTCCATGGATTCTTCACGTGTGATTTTGGAAGAGGGAGCTGGTGGCCCTTACTAGTTACTTTGTTAGGAAGCTGGATTTACACTCCCCAATGTCCTCCTGTCTTATAACCCCTATCCCTCACGCCTCTTCATTATAGTTATATCAGCATTTTGCCTTAAATCAGTAGACAGTGTTTACATTATTAGGACTATTAAATATTGTTTACTACTGAGCCAAATGGTGTACTGTGGTATAACTTATGTTTCTTATATTCAAAAAAACCTCTTGGTATCTTTATTGAGATACAATCCACATACAATTCACCCAATTCAATGGCTTTTAATATATTCGCAGAGTTGTGCATCCAATACCACAATCAACTTTAGAACATTTTTAACATTACCCCAAAATGAACCCCCTGCCCCTTAGCTGCCACCATCAGTTCCCCCTTCCTCCCAGTTCTAGGCAACCACTAAGCCACTTTCTGTCCCTGTAGATTCTTGCCTGTTTTGGATATTTCATCTAAACAGAATCATACAACATGGGATCCTTTGTGACTGGCTTCTTTATCTTAGTGTAGGTACAAGATTTCCCCATGTTGTAGCAAGTATTAGCACTCCACTTCTCTTATTGCTGAATAGTATTCCATTGTATGGCTATTCCACACTATATTTATCCATTCATCAGTTGGTGGACATTTGGGCTGTTTCTACTTTTTGGCGATTCTGAATGATGCTGCTATGAACATTCGTGTATTAGGTTCTGTGTGGGCATTTTCATTTCTCTTGGTTAAATACCTAGGAGTGGAATTGCTGGGTCACGTGGTAACTCTGTGTTTAACTGTTCGAAAAACTACAGGCTCTTTTCCAAATTGGCTGCATTATGTTGCATTTCCACGAGCAGTGTATGAAGGTTTAATCCTCATCAACATTTGGTACTACCTGTCTCTTTGATTGTAGCCATCCTAGTGGTTATAAAGTAGTATCTCATTGTGGCTTTGATTTCTACTTCCTTGACGGGTAATGATGTGGAGCATCTTTTCTTGTGCTTTTTGGCCATTTGTGTGTCTTCTTTTGAGAAATGTCAGTTTAGACCCTTTGCCCATTTTCAAATTGGGTTATTCATTTTTTTAAATTACTGAGTTGGAAGGGTTCTTTGTATATTCTAGATACCAGTACTGTATCAGATATAAATATTTTCATTTGCAAATATTTTCTCCCATTCTGTGGGCTGTCCTTTCACCATTTGTTTATTTAAATATTTTATTTATTTGTTTATTTATTTATTTATTTACGTTGTGCTGGGTCTCAGTTGCTGCACTTGGGGATCTTCTTTGTGGCACGTGGGATCTTTGTTGTGGCATGTGGGATGTTTTAGTTGCGGCATGCATGCAGGGTCTAGTTCCCTGACCAAGGATCGAACCCAGGTCCCCTGCATTGGGAGCACTGCGTCTTAACCACTGGACCACCAGGGAAGTCCCCCAGCACCATTTATTGAAAAGACTATTCCTTCCCCCATTAAATGGTCTTGACACTCTTTTTTAAAAAATTAATTATTTATTCATTACTTTTGGCTGCGTTGGGTCTTCGTTGCTGTGCGCAGGCTTTCTCTAGTTGCGGTGAGCGGGGTCTACTCTTCTTGTGGTGCGCGGGCTTCTCGTTGCAGTGGCTTCTCTTGTTATGGCTCTAGGCGCGCGGCCTTCAGTACTTGTGGCATGCGGGCTTGGTAGTTGTGGTTCGCGGGCTTGGTAGTTGTGGTTCGCGGGCCCTAGAGCGCAGGCTCAGTAGTTGTGGTGCATGGGCTTAGTTGCTCCGCGGCATGTGGGATCTTCCCAGACCAGGTCTCAAACCCCTGTCCCCTGCATTGGCAGGCGGATTCTGAACCACCGCGCCACCAGGGAAGTCCCGTCTTGACACTTTTGTTGAAAATCAATTAACGTAAAGGTGAGATAATTTCTAGTTCTTATTCAACTTTTTGTTTTCCCCTAAGTTTATAATTACCTCTTTTTCAAAATATAATTTTCTATGTATCTAGCTCTAATTTTTTCCGCACGTCGCAGCAGACTTGTAAAGTACTTGTTCATATTCTTTTTCAAATATTTAAACATGTCAGATGCTTTACAGGTTTTTTTCCCCCCCTCTGGAGACTGTCCTGCAGTTTCCTCCTTCTCCTACTTCAGGCAGGACAGGTTGTTTCTGGGTCTGTGGTGTAGCTTTCATTCCAAAGATTTCCTCCACCAGTTTTGTGTGTGGATCCAGCATTCCATTCCCTAGCTCTGCTGCCTTTCTCTTTCCTGCTTACCAGAGCACATCTTATAGTAGCCTACTTGGAAAGAGAAGTAAAAATGTTCACTCCTTGCATATCTGAAAGATGTCTATATTTATCTTATATTGGTACGTATTGGTCTTATATTCGTTTGGCTGGTATAGAATTCTAGGTAATGATCATGTTTCTTCAGAATTTTAAAGGCACTGTCACATCATCTATCTTTTAATACTGTATTGAGTTGCCATTCTCATTCCTGTTCCTTTCTCTCTCTCTCTCTCTCTCTTTTTTGGGGGGCCATGTCATGTGGCACGCAGGATCTTAGTTCCTGACCAGGGATCCACCAGGGAAGTCCCTTTCTCTCTTTTTGAAATCTTTTTGGATCTTCTCTTTTCCCCTAATATTCTGAGATTTTACAAAGATGTGTCTTGACGTGGTTCTTTTTCTTTCACTATGCTAGGCACATAGTGTACTATGTAATCCAGAAAGACTTGTTCAGTTCAGAAATTTTTTCTTGTATTTCTTCTGTAATCTTGTTCTCTCATACCTTTCTCTCTTTTTAGAACTCCTATTAATCAGAGATTGAGCTATTTGGCTTGATTTTCTAATTTTCTTACTTCCTATTTCCATCTTTGCTGGCTCTTGCTCCTGGCTCTTTGCTCCTTATTTGTTTCCCATTTTTGACCAAAATCTACTTTTCTTGGAACCGTATCTGTGGAAATTCCCCAAGGCCTAGATTGAAGATCAGCTCATCCAGAGATGATCTGCATTGTTTCAGCTGGTGCTTGGTGGCACTGTCAACCTGGAACCATTTTAAATTCTTGCTATTTTGTTTTTCGGACCAACAAGGCATTCGGGCAGAAAAGTCACAGCTTTGATGATAAATTATCTGCATATATTTAAAAGAAAAAAGAAAAGATCTCTAGGAGGCACTTAGATTCCAGATGAGCACATTTTCTATGCAGTCCCCTAGGGGCAGTTCAGGTGTTAGCATATTTTAAATCCACTCTTACATGAGGATATAGTCTTCTGGGGTTCTGGTGTTATAGTGGGGGTCTTCTATTAGATTTCCAACCCTATGCAGGCCCTGGGTTCTGTCTCCTATGCCACAGTGGCACCCTATGAGGTCACCATGCCTAAATTCAACTTTTAAGCAAACGCCCTCAAGGCAAAACAAGCTTCAGTGCTCAATTTACCTCTCCAGGTACCAGCTTTCACTTAGTTTTTTGGTCCTTGAATAGTCTATTTTCTTGCCAGTTTACACAAATGCATTTTTAAAATGATCTATTAGGCAGAGGACCTAGAATAGCTAAACCCATTTTGAAAAAGAACAATAAAGTGGGAAAAATAATTCTACCTTATATTAAGGTTTACCATAGCCACAGTAATTAAGACAGCATGTTATTGGCAGAAGGACAGACACATAGGTCATGGATCTGAATAGAAAACCCAGAAACAGACCTGCACAAATATGCCCAACTAATTTTTGACAAAAATGCAAAACAATTCAATGGAGGAAGGATTGCTTTTTCAACAAACAGTCCTGGAGCAATTGAACATCCATTGACAAAAAAAAAGGAACCCCGACCTAAACTTCACACCTCATACAACAATTAACTCAAAATGGATTATGGACTTACATATGAAACAAAACTGTACAACTCTTAGAAAATAAAATAGGAGAAAATTATGAGACTCTAGGGCTAGGCAAAGTGTGACATTAAAAGTGATGCATTAAAGGACAAGTTGATAAATTGGATCTTAAAATTAAGAACGTTTTCTCTACAAAAGATTCAGTTAAGAGGATGAAAAGACAAAAGACAAACTGGGAGAAACCACTTATCTGACAAAGTACTTTATCTAGAATATTTAAGGAATTCTTAAAACTCAAAGGTAAAAGAAATGAACAAGCCAATTAGAAAATGGGCAAAAGACATGAACAGATCTTTCACCAAAGAGGATATATAGATGGGAAATAAACACATTAAAATATGTTCAACATCATTAGCCATCAGGGAAAAACAAAAATTAAATCCACAATGATATATCACTAAATAACTATCAGGATGATTAAAATTTTTTTTAAAAAAGTGACAACAACAAATGCTGGTGAGGATGTGGAAAAACTGGATTCCTCATGCGTTGCTGGTGGGAATCTAAAATGGTGCCGTCATTCTGGAAAAGAGTTCGGCAATTTCTTATAAAACTAAATATGCAAAATTACCTTATTACCCGGTAATTGAACTCTTGGGCATTTATTCTAGAGAAATGAAAATTTATGTTCATGCAGAACTGTACATAAATGTTCATAGCAGCTTTAATTTGTAATAAGCCCAAACTGGAATCAGCCCAAATGTCTTTTAAGCAGGTAAATGGTTAAACAAATTGTGGTATATCCGTACCACGGAAATACTACTCAGCAATGAAAATTATTTATACACACAACTTGAATGGATCTCGAGGATATTAAAAAAAAAAGCCAATCTTAGAAGGTTATAGACTGTCTGAGTCCATTTATATAACAGTCTTGAAATAAAGGTATAGAGATGGAGAACAAATTAGCAGTTGCCCAGGGTGCGGGATCGGGGTGGGTGTGGCTATACAGGGATAGCACAAGGGAGCCTGGTAGTCATATAATAGTTCTGTAACCTGATTGTGGTGGAGGTTACAGGAATCTACACACACATTGCATAAAACTACACACACACACACACACATGCACACACACAAATGCATGTAAAAGAGGCAACATCTGAATAAGCTCTGTGGATTGTACCAATGTCAATTTCCTGGTTTTAATATTGTACTGTAGCTAAACAAGATGTTACCATTGGGGGAAACTGGGTGAAGGGGTACAGGGGAACCGCTCTGTACCTTTTTTTTTTTTGCCACCTCATGTGAATCTGGTGGGCATACTTAGCCATTCATGCTGCCTGAAACAATTCCCTCCATTCTGTTTGTCTTTGAGGGTTTATAATTTGTTTTCAGTATTTACCAATTTTCATTTTGATGTAGTTTCAGAAGGGGCATGGGATAAACACATATGATCAATACATTGTGTTTCTAATTGTTTAAAGGTTTTAAGCAGGGTTGTAACATTTGGGTAGACCACCCTGGTGGTTTCTTAGAGGATGGTTATAAATGAGGGCAAGATGAAACAGAAAGATATTATATTTCATTAATTTTAAGAGGCACTTGGCACTTTTTTTTTTCATTTTAACATCTAAATTGGGATGTTTGACTATAACTATTAGCCAGAGTCATACTGTATTTGTCATGCTGGCTCATAAGAATCAAACTTTGCCAAATGGGTGTCTGAGGCTTGGAAGAAAATTCCAGACAGAAAAGGAGCATTCCTTTAAGAAATGCTGCATCACCAAAGCCCCTGATGGCATGCACAGAGGACTACATTGTGTGGAAATCATGCACATGAGTAAAAAAAATGAATCATAAGAGTCAGTGTCTGAATGTGAAGTTTTATGAACACTGTTACCATGTTACTCTTTTCTGTTTTCCTTTTTATGTATTTTCACGAGAGTGAAGTATGATAAAAATCTACATTTATAGACACCTGCACTTTAAATAAATATAAAATAAAAATTCGAAGTGATAAGAAAGCATTATGTCACAGTTGATTTGCTACCTTTTTTACTTATCGGGACATAAAATAATAGTTTTACAACCGAAGGCGTCCAGGTAAGGGATAATAATCTGAAGCAGGACAGTGAGACGAGGGGAGAATCCTTGAAATGCTAAGAAGGAAAACTTGAATTATTAGAGGACAGGTAAAGATGAACGGGGAGGAAATCTACGATAGTTTCCAGGTTTCTGGTTTGGGCAACTGAATCGATGTAGTAAGCTACCTGGGAGGGTTAGGAGGAGCAGGTTTGGGGAGGGGGAGTTAAAATTAGGATACACTGCGTGAGGGGCTGGTTGGCTGTGTAGAACGGATGAACGGAGCTCTCGTATTTACTTTGGCCACGGGAGCCTGCGGCTCTGCCTTGATGGATTCAGCCTCCTCAGAGCTGTCAAAGGCGGGGAGGTGGGGTGGAGGCCGGCCAGGTAGCGCCAGCGCAGTGCCTAGGCCACCGAACCTCCGCCGCTCCCCGGGCTCTAGAGTCCAGGCCATAGCGAGCCGGAACCCGCCCCCGCCGCCGCCCCCGCCCACCGCTGTCAGCGGAAGCGGCGTGATTGGCTGGAGACGCCGGCGCCGGCGGCCGCGAGCGGGCCCCGACTTAAGGAACTGCTTAGCGATTGGCTGGGAGGCACCAAAAAGGCCTAATTCAAATTGTTGGAGCCGCCCTTCCAGGGAGCGGGCGCCTAGTTCCACCCCGCCCCGTCGCTTAGTTAGACAGGTACGCAAACCAGAGCTGTATTGGTCAGATCCTTCCGGCACCGCTCCTTACCCGAGTCAGGATGAGAAGAGAGCTGTGACTGGCAGATTTTCAGGGGCGGGCACTCTAGGCCTTATCCGGGCTTCGCTTCGGGACTGGCACCTGTCCTGGGCGTGGATTGGGCCGCAGCGTTGTCAGCGTGATCTGGGGGCGCGGCCAGCGCTAATAAAGACGAGCCGGGGCTGCAGGTGCAGTCAGTTCCACCGCAGCTAGAGCTCAGAGTGGCCGTCTGGAAGCGGAGCTCGGCGGTGCGGTCGGTTTCACCGCAGTGTTCCCCGGCCGGGTGTCTCGCCGCAGCCTCGGGAGAGGAGACGGACCTCTCCTCTTCCTGTCAGAGACATGTGAGTTGACCCTGGTGTGGGGGGCGCGACACCTTGCCAACTCTCACCCCAGCGCCGGACTCTGCGGGACCGAAAATGGCGCATTGCAGCAGCTGCGGCGACGCGGGGAACCACCGCCGCGCGCCGTCCGCAGGCCGAGCCACCCCCGGGGAGGGGAGGCAGCACCCCATTCCTGCACCAGCCGCAGCCGGCACCCCATGGGCGGGGCAGGGGCGCGGGGGTCCCACATTCATTGCCCCCTCTCCTCTCACCTGCGGGGATCCTCAGTCGAGTCTCGGGCGAAGGTGGGGCGCGGAGACACCCGGGAGGGGGCTCCAGGCCCTTTCTTGTCGTTGATTGAAGCTGTGCTTGGGGCCTCTGGAAGGACAGTCATGGGTGCACCTGCCAGTTAGTAACTTGGGTTGCTCTGCAGTCTCTAGCTTTGTGTACGCCCCTCACCCCGACCGTGACGAGTAGCCCCCGCTCTTGGTAGTGAGCAAAGCTCCAGAAACTTATCTGCCAGTTCTCTGGCGCCAGGTGAGCAGCTCACAAAGACTCAAGGGGCAGTGGCGTGTGATTCCAAGCGTCCATTCATCCCAAGGCCACCCGTATAGGAGTTTTCCTGTCATTGAGTCTTAGCCAAGTACTTGGAAGAGAAATAGAGCTAAGGATCCCCCCCTCCCCTCGCCGCCACCTTCCCTCAGTACATTCAATTTAGTCTCTAATCATCAATTTAGTCATCTGACCATGGTCACCGCATCCCAAGATCCTGAGGGAGAACTATAGCTAGACAAATGAAGAACTTCCCTTTCTTTCTTGGAGTCCTGGCCTGGTCCTAGATGTATTTGTGTTGCTTCTCTTGGTGACTAAAAGGGAAAAGATTTACTTACGTTACATAAGGGTTATAACTATCCCCGGATATGTTACTCCTGCGTGTTCCCAACTCCCAAGAAGTAATAAGTGAAATGGTCCCTTCAAACGCTTTATAACGATTTCCCTTTTTCTCTATTTGATTTCTACAGTTTTAACTGTATATGATATTCTATGCGTTTTGGCCAAGCCCTAGGATTCCTTGTGTTTTCATTTTGGGAGGGGGAGCCTCTTCAGTTGACCGGTTCCCAGTAGCATCTATGTGGGATGAAAGGAAGGAGATGGGGAAACCGTGGTGACTAGAAGGGCATCACGAGGTCTCTGACCTTAATCTTGTCATTGGTGCCACCAGCCTGGACTGCTTCCAAGACCAAACACTGGCTACTTCCTACTCCTTGAATTTTCCACTTTCACCAGAGAACTAGATTGTGTGGCACAGTAGTAGCATAGGAGTCTGGTGGCCGCCATAGTGTTGTATCTTTCCTTTGCCTCCTTTGTGCCTTAAAGGGCAATGGGAAAGCAATTCTTTTAGCCAAGATGAGTCAGGTGTAATCTGCTAGTATAACCTCTCTGAAGGGTTATTCTCTTTTGAGACTGAAATTTACTTACTTAGAGAGGAGGAACTTCTGGGTATTAGTTCTATTGTGAGTAGTCAAGGCTTTTCCTTTTTGGTGACTTTGTGATGGTTTCATCCGTAGTGCATTTACTCTTGGACTGCTCCTATGAGGTAGGCTTTGTGAGATTCTGCTTCTGTTTGAGGAGTTCTTATTGTAATTTCTTTTCTCTATCAAATTGCAGAGATCTCTCTCCTACCTGTGACTTCTTCCTTGGCAGGGAAAATCTCATGCCTTAGGTTAGACTTCAGGGAATTCTTGAGAAGGTGAATTTAGCTTCCATGTGTTGGGACGTGGAGAGGAGTTTATTTTGAGAATCCCACACTGGATTATTCTCCCCTAAGGCTAAGGGAAAGGGAGTACGGTCTCTGTGCCTAGCAGTGTAAACCAAGATTTCTAGTTGGGACATCAGGAGCTAGGAGAGTCTCCTGAGACTGGATGCCAAATCTAAAAAAGGAAGGGACAGGCTGTCTCTGGTGCATGTACACTGAGGACCATTTCCAATATTTTTGCTCCCTGTCTATGCTCTTGGAACACTTTCACAATTGACACAATTGCTTTGGGCCCCAGTTCTATCTAAGTGAAACCCCAGTCTTCTCTGCCAAAAAACAAAGCAAGCAAACAGTCCTGACTCACTGCAACTACAGAGGCCTTTGGTGATTCTCCAAGTCGTCCTTACAGTGGCCACGATATACTAATCATTGCATGAAACAACCAATAACTGGCTCCCCTTCAGCAGAGTCTGTCAGCTTGGCCTTTCTTTTTATATTCAGACTTTGCAAAAAAAGAGTTGTTCAGTCTGTAAGCTTGTCCTGAGGGTTGAGTTTTTTTTGTAGGTAATTCTCCTGGATTGGAGTTTTCCAGTTTGACTTCATGTGAAAAAGGCTTCCGGGAGGCAGAGAAATGCCATTTAAGCCAAGACTGGCCCACTTGTCCCTGTGGCCATTGTGCCAGAGGATGTGTTTGAGTTTGGGTCAGAGGATAGCCCAAACGAGAGCTATTGATGCCACCCTGGATGTCGCTGAGCCCCATCTGTTACAGGAGCTTTCATCTTTTGCTTTGGACCTCTGTGCTGCATCTCCCCACTTGGTATTGCCAAGGAGCTGGAATCCCTTCTACTTGCATATAGCCGTATCACCCTTGCTTTGGTGATAGGGGTGAGAACGTATGTGATTCCTTTCTTGTCTTGGTCACTCTGTGCACTTCTCTCCGCAGGTCTGCGGCAGCTCAGCCACCCACCGAAGGGGCAGAAGGGGCTGCCCCAGGTGGGGGTCCCCCTGGCCCTCCTCCTAATTTGACCAGTAACAGACGACTACAGCAGACCCAGGCACAAGTGGAGGAGGTATGTGGATAGCTTTTTCTCTAAGGGTTTCCAAGTCATGGAAGTTGGGAAGCTTCTCTTTATCTAGAGGGGCAGCTAAAGGCTCCGGGAGACAGGGCACCCCTTAGAGTTAGGCAGGGCAGACTTGCTGTTCTCTCCCCGGCTCTGGGGGAGCTTAGCCGCTTTGCTCCTGCGCCCTGCTCAGGTGGTGGACATCATGCGTGTAAATGTGGACAAGGTCCTGGAGAGGGACCAGAAGCTGTCAGAGCTGGATGACAGAGCCGACGCTTTGCAGGCGGGCGCATCACAATTTGAGAGCAGCGCTGCCAAGCTAAAGAGGAAGTATTGGTGGAAGAACTGCAAGGTGAATGTTCTTGTCCTTTCCCCCTTATTTTCCTGGGTCTCAACACATAGGAGGCGGGAAAACCCTCAGGTTCCACAATCCTTCCCTCTCACGATCTGTGCCCTGCAGGACTCTTGGGAGGCAATCTGGGAAGCCTCCTTCTTGAGCTGCATTACCCGAATTGGCCACCAGGGCACGCTAAAGTGCTCAGAACCACTAACTGAGGGCCAGGGGAGACCCTGAGGAGTTTGGAGGGGTTAGTCAAGCTGCCTTTTCTCAAAGGACCCCGGGAAAAATTCTTACCTGACCCTTCCTGAGATACACCGACATCGACACAATGGCTGGGGTAGCTATATATTTAAATACCTGCAGCTTTTGGGAATGAGCTGAACACTTTTTGATGAAAAACGAACCAGTTGACTAAAGATCCAAAGTCTGCACCTGCTCTGGCGTTCCTTTAAAAGCCCCCGGGCAACAGGAACTAGGAGACAAGGAGCAAGCTGCAGACCCTCTCGTGTTTCTGAGAAGCTCCAGCTGTGGTGCAGGGGTTACTGTCTGATGGGGAGCACGAGGGCTTGGGAGGCCTTCAGCTGTCCTGGGGGGCGTGTGGCTTCTTCCGCCGTCCGAGTCCCCGGTCCTGGCTCCTGCCTCCTTCCCCAAATCCAAGGGCTTGTTTTTTGTCACTGTCTCCTCAGATGATGATCATGCTGGGAGCCATCTGTGCCATCATCGTGGTAGTTATTGTAAGTAAGTATCGCTGAGGTTGCTGGTTGGGGTGAAGAGGTGGGAAGGTCCCGGCGTCGCCTGCCTGCCTGCCTGCCTGGGGAGTGGGGCTGCTCTGACTGAGGTATGGAGGTCGTGGCCAGGGAAGCACCATCTGGTGCGGGAGGGCGGGAGGGCAGAGGTGAGGGACCTCCTCGGTGGACAAGCCTTCACTCTGCAGGACTGTGGGGGAAGGTCGTGGCTCCTGTTCTGAGCAAGTGGGCTGTGCTTCTTCTCACTGGCTTGGGTCAGAGGGAGACCGTGGGGATGGGACACCTACAACTACACCTGAATGTCCAGTAACCTGATGTAATTTGCCCTCTTGTTTTCTCCTCTTTCTCTTTTCCATCTGGGACTTCCTGACTCCTGTGTCCAGTCTACTTTTTTGCTTGAGAATGTGCCGCCCCTTCCCTGTTCTCCATTGCCATCCAAACTCATGTCCCTGTCCTGCTGTTTCTCCCCAGAACTTCCCCATCTGCCTTCCTCCATCCCAGCCCTGCTTCTCCATCGCCCACTCCTCCCCTTGTGTTGCTTTCATTTGCGCTGTCCTGCGACACTGGAAATGCTGCTTGTGGTGAAGTCTTGAATTAACTACCCGAAGAACAACAGCTGGGATCTCCTTCCTACCCTCTCATGTTCTCTCAGGTTCCCCCAAAGACAAAAGGAGTTGGAGGCCAAGGGATGGGGAAAGGGGTGTAGCTGAGGTGACGTGCTCAAGAAGGGGCCAAGACTGGGACGAGGAGAAGAGTGTTGTGCCCATGGTGTTGCCAGAAAAGGCCAGGCTGCTGGCCGGAGGAGGCTGGGAGCAGCTGGGAGGATGCCCCCTCACCTCTCCTGTGCCAGGCCTGCAGAGGAGCCTGAGCCAGGCCCAAAGTCCAGCTTGGTCCTGGTGCAGGACTCTTTTAGAAAGTCAAACCTGTTTTTCACAGTTATTTCCCATCTGTTAGTCCAAGATCTATGTCTTCAGGGATCTTACAACCTTTTACTTTGTCCTCCAGAGACCTGGAGAACACGTATTAATAGCAAAAATATCAGGACTCTCGTTCCCATCCTAGAAACAGTCCCACAAGCTCATACCTGGAAGGGGCTCTTGTCCACGTTTTCTACAGCATTCTGTATTGCTCGTGAAGGCATCAAATAATTTCATTTAGCCAAAGTTTGAGCCTCTCAATTTTAGTTACTGGCATAGATAATGAGAGAATGCCCGTTAGTTACAGAGAAACAGCGAGTCAAGGGCCTAATCTGAAAATACCAAGCTTGGAGGAAGCCACTTCTCACCCTCTTGTTACAAGCGTCCTGTACCTCCCTTGCTGTTGGTGGAGGAGGATGAGATGTCGGAGGGTAGGAGCCCTGGACCCTCTGGGAGCCTTTCCCCCGACACCACCCCCGTGTACTTGCCAAGGGCAGGGCTGAGGAGAGAGGCCCTTCCTGAGGCCCGGCTGCTCCTGAGCGGTGGGAGTCCGGTGCCCCCGCCAGCCTTGGGGCGGAGGTGGAGCCGTCAGCAGACGGGCCTGCTTGTTGACTGCTGTGCCACCACGGCGCCTTCTCGTCTGGAGCGGCCCCTCTGTTCTTCCAGCAGTACGTTCCCCTTCCAAAGCACCCCTGAATTCCCTTTGCCTTCCTCCTCTTTGCATGGTTTGTGGCACAGACAGTGGGACCTGGGGATGGAGCTGCTCAGCCTGTCTCGGGGGCCAGTGCTGGGTTTCAGGAAAGGGCACTCAGTGGGACAGACCCCGGTGAGAGGGGAGGAGGGCCGGCTGGGAACAGAACGGGGACCGCCCCACGTTCCTTCGTTCCTTCCGTCCACCAGTCCACCAGCAGGAGGCGGCTGGGCCAGGCTCGCTTTCCACGCAGCAGCATTTCGTTCCGCAAAACCATCCTTCCTCTCCCTTCGCCCTGTTCCCACATTCCCTTCGTCCTGCCCCAGGGCGGGACGGAAGAGCTGGACGAAGGCAGTCTCTGTACCCTCCTAACGGCCAGAGGCCCCTCGAAGGCCTCCACCCTCCTCTGGGCTCCCCTTGCCTAATGCAGGGGGTCACCGCTGGAGAAGAACCACCACTGTCCTCGATGTGTCCCAAGCCTGGAGCAAATCCGCCCTCTTGGCCCGCCCCGTCACAGGAATCACTTCTGCGTTTCTGTGCCATCTGTCCCAGGTGTAGTTGGCTTTGCTCTTCTGGGGACGGTAGCCCTTCTACTCTCTTTCTCACCCTGCCCTGTACCCCCCTCTTCTGTGTCTTTGCCGCCCCCCTTCCCTCCCACCACCCATGTGCATGAGCAAATATGCAACTAAGCCTGGGGCTTGGCAGTCACGCGAGGCCGGGTCTCCTCGGCCCCTCTTGGGTTTGCCGTGGGACGATGTGGCGTCCCCACTGTGTCTGTCATCACCTCTCTGTCTTTTTTTCTAACCCCAATCTCCTACTTGTACAGAAATAACAGCTGTACTTCCACCAAAGGCATGTGGCGTATTTACCAATTTCCTGTATTCTGAACAAAGGCAAAACAACAATACAACTTCCTACCACTAAACCGACTCGGCTGTTGTTTGGGTTGGGGTGAGTGCAGCAGGGCGGAGGTGTCTTGTTTCTCTCTGGTTCCTTTCTGATGGTGCCCTGCGCCGGAAGGGTGGCTTACGGGTGCTGTCGGTCTTCTCGAGATTCCACAGCTGGGTGCTGGCAGAGGAAGTGGTCTCCGCTCTCAGCCTCCGTGCCCGAAGCAGCCCAGCTCTTCAGGTGTGGGTGACAGGAAGCCACGGCAGGAAGCTGAGCGGGCATCTCACGGACAGACACCCGCAGATCTTCTTAGACATCTGCCGCCTCCTCCCTCCAGGTCCTGGGCCAGGCCCTGAGGAGGCCCCCAGGGGACACGCTCTGCTCCCCACCGTCCCCATGCATAGCCATCTTCTGCCAAGTCCCACTGTGCTGACCAGGCCCGTTTGAAAATGACTGAAAGGGGAGCTCTGTCCCCTGCGGCCAAGGCAGGGGTGTGGGCAGGTGTCCTGAAATGCCCAGCAGCTGTCCAAAGGTACAGGAGCTTAACGGCAGCTCAAGGTTACCCTGAGCGACTGGGGGGGGGGGGCCCAGGGCCGCCTCTGAGGGTCTTCGTTTCACACCTCAAGCACTTTGCCAGCCAAGCGGCGGGGCGGGCCCCAGTGTGAGGAAAGACAGGAAAGTGGAAAAGCTTTGCTTCTGAGGACATGAGGGCTTTCACTGGGACAGAGTTCAACGATTGTGCGTGGCCCTCCAACCCCCATCCTGTTCCACTGTCCCTCATCCGCTCCTTTCTTAATTTTTTTCTGCTATATTGTTCCTACCACCGCGCCTCAAACCTGGCTCATGTTTTAACCTCCACCCAGACCTCCTGCCTTCCTGCCACCCTCTCACCTCTTCACGCTTTCTCCCTTGGGTGTATCAGCCCAGGGCATGCAGTGAAGGAAGGCAGAGGCCTGCAGAAATCCAGCGCCACAGTCAGTGATCTGTGCCTTCGTATCTTTCTCGGGGCCTCTTTGAGCTCTGGGACTCAGCTTCTGGGAGAATGTGACTCTCTCTTATATCTAAGGCAGGAGAGTGGCTACCCGGAGTGCCTCGGGGTCCTGGCAGGCCTTGGTGAGGTAGCTAGGAGATAACGGGAGGGAAGGAAGTTGGTGTCAGGGGGGGTAAGCCCAGGAGCTGGGGGCTGGGGGGCCAGCTGGAGCTCTGGATGCTTGCGTTTCATCCCTGGTCTGGGTGTGGCGGCACTTAGAGCAGCTGGTCTCCAAGTGAGTTCGGTCAGGGCCAGAGCCAAGGGTGCGCAGGCTCACTCTTACCTTGGCGTCTCTGCAGTCCCAGGAACAGCAGTGCCAGGAGGAAGAGGCTGCTGGCAAAAAGGACTCCAAAGGCCGTCCTCTGCTCTGTAGGGGACAGAGGTGTGGACGGGGATCAGTGGCGGGAACCATACCGAGCCCTCATGTGCAGCGTCTGCCCCGGCAGAAAGGACAGGGCGCGCGCGCCTGCGTTCAAGCATCCCTGGCCGAGGAGCTCCCATCAGCTGTTTTCCTGCTCTCACCCAGGAACCAGCACACGGTGGCGCTGGGGCCTGCTCGGTGGACGTCCGTGTGTCACTCCACACAGAATCCTCTACCTCTTCCCACCTCAGGACAACTTTTTTTCAAACGGCTTTGCACGGGAGATTTAGTTTAGATTAGCTGGTGATAGTTAAACTGGAATTGTGTAAACCACTGGGAATGATGTGAGCTGAGGCAAAACCCCAGTTTCGGGGAAGCTTACAGTCTCATGAGACACCAAGCAAGGCATTTCGAGGTGCCGACTCTTTATGGTGTAGGACCTTTCGAAGACATTCTGTGGCCTCGGGATGAAGTTCCAGCTTGAAGGCCTGCTGTTATCTGCCCATCAGTAGCAGGAGCGGGGTTGAGGCTGTAGGGGAATCGCCTATTTTCCACATTTTCTGTTTGACCATTTCCTAGGCAGGTGACCTTGGGCAAATTACTGAACCTCTGCAAGTATCAGTTACTCATCTCTAAGATGGGAGGAGTGAGGACCTGTGGAGGCCCACATCTGAGGGCTCAGTGCCCTGCTGGCTTGACACAGACGCTCAGCGAACACCATCACCTCTCAAGCTTCACGGCCACAGCCCCCTTTCCCCACGCACCCTTGCCTCTAGCTGTGCAGCCCCCCCAGTTCTTTCTAGCCTGTTTTATAATGAGGCCTTCACACATGATGTCCCTTCGGTCCTGGTGTTCCCTGCCCCTGACCCAGCTCAGCCGGCTTGCAGGCCTCCCCCGGGTCATCTTCCCTGACTGCCTAGTCTGTCCCTCCCACTGGGCTAAGCTCCTCGAGGGCAGGATGAGGAATTGTTCAGCCTTGGTCTCCAGCTCTCAGCAGTGCCTGGTACCCCAGAACTCGGGGGGTAATAAAGTCTTGGAGGACGGGGTGGGACCTCTGGAGGCTGTCACCTTGGGAAAGAAGCAGCCGACACTGTGGGAAGCAGAACAAGGCCAGAGGGCAGGAGCCGTGAGCCCAGGTGTGGTGGTGGGGAAAGGAGGGCACTCCCATACCTGGTGGGGCAATCCAGGTGTTGGCCCCCAGGGGCTCCTGCAGGGAGACGTGGGTGACTTGGCAGGTGTAAGTGGCACCCACAGAGCCAGGCTCTGCCGTCAGGGAGGAGGAGATGCTGTAGGTGCCTGCCATGCTCTGCCGGAGGTTGGAGAAGGAGGCACCAGAGACTGGGGCCGGGGCTCCACCCAGCTCCTCCCGGATCCACGTCACAGTCACATCCAGAGGGTAATAGCCAGTGACACTGCAGAGGAGGGTGGGCGGCAGAGCTTCGCTCGCCAAGCTCAGTCGTACTTTGGGGGCAGCTGGAAGAGAGGAGGAGAAGTAAAATCCCACAGGCATCACCGGGGCAGCAGAGGAGCCTAGAGCCTTCTCCTGCTGCACGTGAGAGCAGGCTGTGGAGGCGGAAGTCCCCTCCTCAGTGAGGTGGCAGGCGGTGGGGGGACAGTGGTGGTGAGGGGCCTGCCTGGATGCACGACATAAGGGGGTAGGATTCCCACAGGTAACTGAAAAACAACAGCAAAACCAACTAAAGGTTGGCTTGCTTCTTAGCATCACCACAAGCCAGTGATGTTAGAGGCTGTCCTGTTGAGACAGGCCTCCCGGTCGGGCCGCCCCCACGCCTCTCCTCGCTTTGCTACTGCTCCTCCTTTGGACGTGGCCCAAAAGGACGGGGGTGACTGGAGGCAGCCGGCCAGTGCGGGGCAGCAGGATCCTGGGCTGGGAAACTTCTCAATGGAATTATCTAGAGCCCGACGGGAAACTCCACCTGATGCCATCTGCGCTTCTAGGATGCAGACGGCATTGAGGCTGTGGGAATGCAGTCTGCCTCTCAGGAAGGCGCCCTTGTGTTTGATCCCATTCTGGAGCACTCTCAGTAGGTGCATCCCTTTCCCCCTCTTCCCGGCATAGCTGAGTCCTGGCCTCACCTTGGACGTTGAGTTGGATGATCTGTTGAGCTCGGTACAGGGAGGGTGTGATCTCGCAGATGTAGGTCCCCTCATCCTTCAGAGTGAGGCTGGGTAGGGTGAGGGAGGCGTCCCCAGCCATGAGCAGCTGCTGAGGCTCCAGGGTGGCGCCCTCCCGCTTGGCCTGCCCCTGCCCCTGCCCCGTGGCCCAGCGGTACACCAGGTGGCCACTGCCCTTATGCTGCCGGTGCCACTCCACGCTGGTGATGCCCAAGCCTGGTGCCATGGAGAAGCCACAGTGCAGGGAGGTTGAGGACCCCAGCAGGAGATTCAGGGACGGGGTCTGTGTTGTCACCTGGAACTCCACTGTGGGAGAAAGAGGGTGATTGTGGGCCGCTCTCTCCTTGAGGCCACCTGATCTCTGAGCTGTGGCAGGCTCGGGGTGTGTTGAGAGGCAGCATGCATGCGTGGTACTCTTAACCATTTTGGAGTCACTTACCCCTTGCACAATCTGATGAAAGTTACAGACCAGGCAAATACATATGCAAAATTATGGCTTACTGGGACTTCCCTGGTGGTCCAGTGGTAAAGAATCCACCTTCCAATGCAGGGGACGCAGGTTCAATCCCTGGTCGGGGAACTAAGATCCCACATACTGTAGGGCAACTAAGCCCACGTGCCACAACTACAGAGCTCGCGTGCCTCAATGAGAGAGCCTGAGTGCTGCAAACTACAGAGCCCACGCGCCCTGGAGCCCACGTGCCACAACTAGAGACAGAAAACCTGCATGCCGCAACTTGAGAGAAGCCCACGCACCACAACGAAGATCCCGCATGCCTCAACGAAGACCCCGCATCCTGCAACTAAGACCCAATGCAGCCAAAAAAATAAAAGAAAAAATTTTATATAAATTTATAAAAAATTTTGGGTTACTGTTGACCCTCAGGTTAAGAACTACTGGAGTGGCTTCCCTGGTGGCTCAGTGGTTAAGAATCTGCCTGCCAATGCAGGCAACATGGGTTCGAGCCCTGGTCTGGGAAGATCCCTCATGATGCGGAGCAACTAAGCCCATGCGCCACAACTATTGAGCCTGCACCCTAGAGCCCGCGAGCCACAACTACTGAGCCTGCACGCCTAGAGCCCGTGCTCCGCAACAAAAGAAGCCACCGCAATGAGAAGCCCCCGCTTGCCGCAACTAAAAGAAAGCCCGCGCGTAGCAACGAAGACCCAACGCAGCCAAAAATAAATTAAAAAAAAAAAGAGCTACTGGAGTTGCAGTCAGCTTTCAGAAGCCCGGCTCTTCCATTTAACTCCCTCTTTGGCCTGGGCAAGCCCCTCAGTGTTGCCGACCTCATCTGCTTAGAGCAAGGCTGCTGAGGAGACTAAAGGAGACAGAGCTTAAATACACAGTGGTGGTGTGTGAGCCACACGTGCTGAACCCCAGACTAATGAGGAAACAATCGGACAGGTCCCAATGCTGGGACATCTACAAGGCAGTGGCCCGGCCTCAAGATAGTTCAGGCTCTGAAGACTGTTCTGGAGTAAAGGAGGCTGAAGGGACGGGACAACT